GCCGCCTATAATTAAAATACACTTATGCTTATTGTGCGTGCAAGGAAATAATTCAATTTGAGTAAAAAGTTCTAGTATATAATATATATAATATAGTAATACTAATTTTTAAAATCTTTTTTTTAAAAAATTAATCCTTTAAAATTTTTAAAAATAATATTTCTAATTCGTTGTTAAATAAATTTAAAAAAAAAATTATTTTTCGATAAAATCTTTATCCTATTCACAGCGACTTAAACTTAAATCAACCTTACTCACTTATTTTTATTCGCTCAATATTTTTTTACAGCGTAAGATTCACACTATTCTTTACAATTTTCTCATCTTAACATCCTTTCTCACACTACGAAACTCTACACCCTCAAAAAGCCCCCCCTTTTTTCGCAATTCTCGGTTTCACCCAATCTCCATACGCTTAACATCTCGATACTTTCACACCCTTTATACCCAATTTACACCGTAAGACGATCGTAAATAATACGCCCGCAAGATTAATCGTGCGAGACTAAATTAATTTGAAGGCAACCGGTGTGGCAATCGAGCCGAGAAAGAAAATCGATTAGCCTGGTTCCCCGTGAGACCACTACTACGAAGATTTTAACCAGCGGAAACGAAGATTTCAAGATTCTAGGGGTACGATGTTTCCTTCCTGTCGGATCACCTCGTCGGGTGCAGGTGTATCCCAGGATCGATCCTCAGCAGCAGAGGGTGGGCGTTCCAAATTTAGACTCGCCTTCCTCGATCTTCCTCAAGAGGTTTGTGGTCAAGCGAACCACTCGAACTTCTCTCTTTCTATCTTTCAAGCAGCCTCTTGGGGTTAATGAGAAGGTCGTGACATCTGACCGATCGCCTGCCGTTATGACAGCTAGTCTGAAATATTTATGGGAAATTGTGGATCATGGGAATGGAAATATCTCGTGAGAGAATTTTCTGATTGGCGATGTCCTTGGTCTCGAAAATCGTTTTCGTGAAAGATCGTGCAAATTATATATTTTTTTTTTTTAGATGGAGTTTAGAGAAACATCGAGAGATTAAATATTGTTCTTCTTTCGTTGAAATTTCATCATTGAAAAAAAAAAAAATACGAAACATTTGCATCATGATGCTATTTCATGTACACGTTTCAAACGATAAGTACAGTCTCCTGATAAGAAACGGGAATGAGAACAGTCAGTTACGAACCGTAAACTGTAATTCGTGACTGGAGGAACGATAAAAATTAAAAAGAAAATTCAAGGTCGCGGCCTGTTTTATTGTGGAAGCCAGTCTACCCTCGTCGAAACTTCCGAGTCCAGAGTTTGCAGATGCAGAAGCAAGAAGGGGCCCAGCCTCTTTGCCTCGGCCCTCTTGTAACTCGGGGGTCCTTCATGGCTATGCAATAATATACCAGTCTCAGGGACAAAGCTGCAGTTTAACGTGGCACATTATGCATTTACTGATGCTAGATATATAAATAAAATCGAAATAAAATCATAATGTACTTATTCTTCTTCCGGAATATGACAGGAAATTCGTCAGAAGATCGAATGTTGTTACAGAAAATGTTGCCTCAGATTCGATAAGATTTTTCACAGTGAAATTATATCATATACTAGTGGAATAGATTTTTTTTAGAAAATAAAGAATTTATCGAATTATTTAATTTTTAATCTTAAGATAACAACATATGTATTATAATTTTTATATATATTACAAAATATTTTTAATTATATTACAAGGAACAAAGATCAGTCACAAGATCCTTTGAACACACATCTCCCAGGATTGATCTCCATTCAATCTAGAATTCTATGTCGCGTGAATTCACGTGGCCGAGTCGAAAACAAAAATGCACTCGAGTTTGATCGAGTCTAACAATATTCGTCCAAGACCAAACTCGATAACAATCGACCTAGCTATAATACAATAATACAATAATTACCCCACGAAATTCACAAACCATCCAAAGTTTAATGCGCACACCCCTTTTTATCCGTCGATCAGTAAAATAATTCGAGTGGATGAGCGGCAAAGCTAAGAGAAACAAGGGCGGACCACCCCTCCTTTCGTTCTCTTCGAGGAAACGTCATCCTTTATTCGTTCGTCGGGGTTTGATCTTGATCATTCGATTAACAGAGTGAAAAAAGATCTCGAACCGCGTGATTTCGTGCATCTGCTACACGCTCACTCGTGGTGTAGAGTAAATGTTAACACGGAAGTTGGTGGAGCAAGGGCACAGCTGGTTTCAAGAACTCGATTTATCGCGGAGTTATCGCGGCGTGCACGCGTATTGTGACGAAACCACGCGATAGAAAATTATTTTAACCGTAATCGTAGCTTGCCTACTTATCGTGTCACGTTTAGAGATTATAATATATATATATATATATCTCATATATGGGCTCGATGATTGATTCAAGAAACAATAATGGCTTACAATGACGAATTTCGAGCGATGACAGAGGAAAGAATCATTCATATTGCAAAAGAAAAAAAAAATAATACATATATATCTACTCAAAGGATATGAACAATGTTTAAAATTAGAATAAGTTAAATTAATTCAATTGGACCATCATAAGATCATAGATCGTAATAGTTTTAATTTATATATATATTTTTTCTATTTTTTCCTATTTTAGGATTAAAAAATTTTCCTTCGTCGTATATTATCTAATCTTTCTATCGCTATTTATTGTAATTAATTATATGAGTTGTTTTTCAAGATAAAATATTGGAACTTTAATCGAGTTATGTTGGATCTCGATAAACACGGGCGCAATCTGTGAAATTCGGCCAAATATCGAGTAATGAAAAGCGTATTGAGCTCGTGGCATACAAATTTAATTTTTCGACAAATATCACGTCGATTAGTGAGCTGGAAATTTGTCCGCTTCCCATTGCCGGTGATCAGTGTCGTGGAAAATTGTGATGCGGGTTCAGTTGAAAATCCTCAACCGCGAGAAAATTTTATTTGAAATATATATTTTGGTTTTAGCTGAACTCTCGAAACGAAGTTTTTGTTTATTTCGTAGGTAACGGGCTGATTTTACGCGTGAAAATAAAACGCAGTTTCTCGATAAATGGACTTTTAATCTCTACTTTGAAAAATATATGTATATACACATATATATATAAAATATTTATGTCGAAACAATTAAATCTGAATAGTAAAAATTTTACTTTCAGTCTCGATTTCGTAGAAAGAATCGTGAATAGAGATTTATCCAGAAAACAGAAATTAAAAATTTTTCGATTAATAAAATATTATTAATTGGCCAAATATATCAATATTATTTATTTTAAATTTAAAATTTGTCAAAAGTTCCAAAGTTTTTTACAAACTTTTTTTAACGACCATTATTATTGTTTAAGGAATACTAAATCCGTCTTTATTCCAAAATCATGGAGGTTTACCTGACGGGAAGAAAACGAAATAAATCATCGGTCCAAGGGACGTTTACAATGTGTAAAATCGGCACTAGTTAGCCGTCAGTCCTGAGCTCTGTAAAAGTAAAAGTTTTCCGGTACAATAATCGCGGATCATAAAGGTTTATCTGTTTATTGCGGCAGCCATTGCCTCTTGAAATGGTCTGTAACTGATTTTGTCAACAAAACGAACGTTCCTCGTTTATTGCGATCTATGGTGCCTACACATTTTGCCGTTCCATCATGGAGGATCCTCGTAAGGCAACGATGTTTCTTTTCCTTTTTATAGTTTTACAGTTTATAGTTTATTGAAAAGATTTAGTGTCTGCATGTTAAATCTCATAGACAATTTATGTAAAATTTTGCGAACCTTTGTTACAAATAATATGGATTCTATGGTGTAAAGAAATATACAAATATTTGAAAACAATTTAATAAAATAAGATTAAAATAAGAAATATTTCATCGAATAGAATTATTTATTTTAAAGATTACAGATTAATTGGTTATAATTTTTTTAAAGATTTTCAATTGCTTTTGTAGACATATTTTATTCTATTAATATTTTTGTAATTAGGTGTATTTTTATGTTTGCATTCAAATGTAAGACAACAAAATAACAAAATAAATCAACAAAATAAATCTTAGTTTATTATCTCTATATATTGTCATGTATTATAAAAGAAAATTTCAAAGAAATAAATCTTACAATCATTAATTTATATTTTATAATTTATTTCAAAAATTCTTATTCCAATACATATAACTTGATATAAAATCTATACTGAAAATATTCTATTCTATTATATTATATAATATAACAATGCAACTCTCTTGCAATAACAATGGCTTTATATTTTAAAAAATATATTTTTTTAAAAACTCTCGTGTACACAATTATTTATTTATACACCCATACATACTTTAATAATTTTTTATTCGTGTTTTCAACAATACACGATGAAAAAATTACAAAAGAAAGTATTACGCATAGATATGGAGAACCCGATATTCAAACAAATGAAGTATAAATTTCTAAACTGAAACCAAACTAAAAAAAAAGAGAAAAAGAGAGAGAAAAGTAATATCGTTGTACACAAAGGATTTGCAAGAAACTATCTCGATCGTATAATACAGCCATATCCCCGATCGTGTATACCTCTATAATGGCGTGCGCAAGACGGAGTACGAGTAGGACGGAGAGAGAGGGAAGTACCGTGTGCCGGACGTGTGTGTTCGTGCGTCATAAGTGTGGCTGGCGCGCGCAACGCGATACGATGGCAACGATGCATATACGGGACGATGGGGGCCCCTGTGTGGGAATTCTTCTGAAACGTTAAACAGTGTTTACTCGACGGGGCCGTGCACCGCGAATGCTGTTGCACGCCGGCCTCATCAATGAACTCTTTCTTTTACGCAACGACCCTGCGTGGAGGAACGCCGCGATGTGTGCACGCAACCCCATGGGAAAACGCGATATCGTGCCCGATTACATCGGGCGGCGGAAACTTGCG